TGATATGTCTGTAACAATTTTAAAAATTTGTCAGAACTCCATTTTACTTGATTAAATGTGTGTGGGGGTTGGTTCAGTTCTATGGATGTAACCTGCTAAATATATAGCATGCTCCTCCAACTGCTTGAGAGTCTCACTCAATTACCTCCTCATTCCCTTTATATTTTACCAATAGCTGCAACTTTCTTTTAACTTCTTTTAGCAATCACCTCCAAATTCCCCCTGCTACCTCTTGTCTCAAATCCCCATTATAACCTTTAGGTTGGAAACTCACAGGCTATCTAGTTGAGCACTTTGTATAAAAGAGCTTTGATGGCTAGATCTAAGCTTACGGTATTTCTCTGTGAATATTGTTTGTTCTCCCCTAATTGTACAGCGCTGAGGAATTTGTTGGTGCTTTATAAACATCGGTAATAAATAATAAATAATATCACCATCATTGCCCCATCAGGAGAATTACGGCTTTACATCTCTATAAATACAAGCGTGATTATAAATTACATTGCAAGTCTTAGCCCTAATTTCCCCAGGAACAATCTTGGGGTTGTTCTTTAAACTGTGCACTGACTGGTGAATTTTGCAATTTAGACCAAAATAGCCACATTAAAAAAAAAAAATTACAAAAAAATCTCTAACTCACCTAAATGTTTCCAGATCAGCTATTTTGGCCATGCATTTTAAATTCTCTGATTCAAAATTTAGGGAACAGCCCAGTGTGTGAATTAAAATTAGTATTAGGACTACACAACAATGATAACATGATACCATAACATCAAACTAGTCTAGACCCGTGCTGCACAATGTGTTCCAGTGCATATACTATGACACATCATGTCATAGTACATGTTCCTTTGCAGTAACACATCATGCCATGGCAGAAATTGCAGTTCCGGAAGACATTCTATCATAGCACATGATCTAGTTAGACAGCCTGTCATATTACATGAAGTGCAGGAACAGACGGGCCCGGTTCATGTATTATTTGATGTGCAGTTCGGTGCTGGTTCAAGGTCATTTGGATGAATAAAACAGAATATTTGCTAACACCAGCGTCAGACTCTTTTTTTTTTTTTTGGACTGGTTTAGACAGAATTAGTATCTTTATAAAGTTTAGCAGCCAATGACTGCATTCATGGAATCACACATTGGAATGATATACTATTTATACTGAATGTATACTATTTATCACTTTATGAATGGTATAATTTTTACTTATCAGATTTTAAATTGCATACTATTTATGAAATTACAATGTATATGTATTAATGTCCCTGAATCTGCTTGCCTGGAGGCTCAAGGAAATTAACCCCTTAATGACCAAACTTCTGGAATAAAAGGGAATCATGGCATGTCACACATGTCATGTGTCCTTAAGGGGTTAAATCAATTACACTAAGAAATTTAATACATACAGTGTTTTAGTTCATATTCAATTCAATTCAGAGAGCAGGAATGAAATAATATAATGAAATGTGAGAAAATACCTAGTTAACTTTATAACTGACTGGTAAAGAGGTGAATAGATTAGAAAATGACACTATTCAACGCTATTAATGTATACGTTAATGAGGAAGTTTATTCACAAACAGCAATCTGCAGTACATGGATTAGTGATTTGCAAAATATATACAATAAAAGCAGGAATTTAGTTCAACTTAAAATATTTCCAAAATTATCAATTTTGTTGTACATGTACATTATTCTCATTCCAGAAATAAAAGTGATACAGTCAATGGCAGTTAAAAAATTGTAGAAAGCACAAGCGAACGCACATGAAGTTAGAACAAATGGCGGTTAAATTGGGGGGTGGAGGGGTGGCGGTTTTGTTGTTTTTGTTTTTTGTTTTTTTTTTAAATAAGAAAAATATAGCTTAACACAATTAAAGGAACAAACATATGCAAGTTGGACATGAAACAACATAGCAGTACACTTTTTGTAGCAGTACACTTTAAAATATCAGGATTAGAGAACATATAGAGACAGTATAATAATAATAATAAGAGGAACTCAAACGGGTGGGGAAGACATACATGCCACAGAACCAGTGGTAATGAACTAAACAAAACAAAACAAGAAGTAGAGAACAGCAACATAATAAAAAAAAATATCACTGTAGGAAAAATAATGTGAACAGGGAGAGGCGTCTGCTTTAGAGTAATTTGGACACTTAAATCATCAGTATTTAAGAGCCACTGATTAGACAGATGGGGTGATCCTAGTTCAGTCCCACTTATGACGTGAATAATAAATAAAACACATGTTGCATTAAAAATATACTTACCAGGGGTTGTTTGGTCTCTCACTTAGTTATAAACAACCTAATTTAAAAAAAAAAAAACAATATACATAGTGTGATACGGCAAATAAAATAAACTCATGCTTCCTTTTAACCCCTTAAGGACACAGGACATGTGTGACATATCATGATTCCCTTTTATTCCAGAAGTTTGGTCCTTAAGGGGTTAAACAGACTCACAAAATGGGAGTGGTATAGCGCCACTCACACTAGCTGCCACTGGGAGGATTAGACCCTGGCTGGTGATGGATCCACTGATCTAACTTTTTCTTAACTGTGCAACATATTAATGCAAGCCAACAGTCAGGTGTCCAAGTAATAAATATACTTCATTTCCAAACTGGTTACAATGTATAAAATCTTTGATGCAAGGAGAGGTGTCCTTTATTGAGCTGTTCAATGTTTGCCCACCTATTCACTTGATGTCCCACACTTGCCAACAGAACCCTTGTCCTCCAGCTCCATGAATGATGACATCAGAAACCGAGAACTGGAAGATAAGGATGCATTGAGCAAGTGTTGGACACAAAGGGATAAAATAGACAAATGTAGAATGACTCAATTAAGGGCACTACGGAGATCTGGCTGTCAAAGAAACTGCTATGTTTATGTAAGGGTTAATCCAGCCTCTAGTGGCTGTCTCATTGACAGCCGCTAGAGGGCTTCCGGGTTTCTCAATGTGAAAATCACAGTGAGAAGACGCCAGCGTCCATAGGAAAGCATTGTGAATGCTTTCCTATGGACTGGCTGAATGCACGCGCAGCTCCTGCCGCGCATGCGCATTCAGCCGAAGAGGAGGAGAAGAGGGAGGAGAGGAGGAGGAGAGCTCCCCGCCTGGCGCTGGAGAAAGAGGTAAGTTTAACCCCTTCCTCTCCATCCAGCCCGGCGGGAGGGGGACCCTGAAGGTGGGGGCACCCTCAGGGCACTATAGTGCCAGGAAAACGAGAATGTTTTCCTGGCACTATAGTGGTCCTTTAACATTTGACTTCACCTTTTTTAAACCTCCAACTCCAGCAAGTTTCTCACAGATTAAGGAGATATTTACCACGATGTTGGTTGGTCAGAAGGGCTTTTTCCATCCCCGTCCAAGCAGATAATTCCAGGATCATAGTCAGATGAACCTTTGCCAGAGTGTCCTACATAGTGCCATGCATTCACCTCATCAAAGATTGTGATGAGTTGTCTGTGAGCTGTGCATTGGCCTGTATTCTTGATCAGATCTTGTAAACAGGATCCAATGAATGATAAATTAGGAATATATTCCATCTTTTGAGAATCTCCAAAGTAATGGACATGGATAATCCTTGTAGTTATTGTGGAGAGAGATAATATAATTACACCAGGCAGTAAACAAAATAATGTACATGTAATATAAATCTAAATACAGGCAAAACAAATACCTGGGGGACACCACTAAGCAAGAAAGCATACGTTTCACATCTAACAGGAGACACTTCTTCAGAAGACTGTGTCAGTCACAGACAGGGGAGGTGTGGGTAGGCTGCATGAACAGAAACAAAAGCGATTTAACTCCTGAATGGCAGAGAATTAAACAGTGAGACTGCAGGAGCAAGATCTATACACAAAAAACTGCTTTATTAAGCTAAAGTTGTTTTCGTGACTATAGTGTCCCTTTAATGGAAACCCAGCATTTACCAGTATGTAATAGAAAAACGAAACAGTAATGCAGCAAAAATTTAAACACCTGCATTCTCAAAACATGAGTAAAAACTATACTAAAAAGTATTTTTCAGTATTTAAAGGAAAACTATGCTATAACCAAGCAGTTGCCAGAACAGTAACCCTTCATTCATCAATATTTGAGTGAAGACTGTATAGAAACTCACAATTTTACTGTACCTTAGTGAAAACTATTCACTAACCCAGTATGTCTGGCATTTCCAATATCCAGTGAAAATTGATAAAGAGAAAATAGAGAGAAATCCAACATTCTCTAATATCTAAAGGAGAAATAAAGAATAACCTGGTATTTTGCAGCAATGTACTAGGAATATCTTACTGAGAACAGAGCAGATGAAGCACAGTGAAAAATTCAATATTTAATAGTTTTTCCACACTACTTTATCTCGCTTATGTTTGATTGCCGTCAGCCACTGTAGGCTCTCGGCTCTCGCTACTCTGGAGTGTATTAGAAGCTGGGCTGATCAGCTCTTTAAAGCGTGTATCCACATCTTGTTACATAGCCCACTGGAGTTCGATTAAGTAAAGCTCTGCTCTCTCCATTCATATTAGTGCTGACTGTCTTACCATTAGTAGTTCATGTCTGTATCTAACCAGTTTGTCTATGTGTAACCAACCTGCATGTATCTAACAATTTTCTAATGCATAATCATCAATTTGCTAACCCTGCACTGGTAGAGTGATTATTTATAATTTCTGCATTTCTGTTTTTCCTTGGTGAGCTCAAGAAGAAAGTCTACGATCAAAATTCAAAAACATATTTTTTTTATATTGCCTAAAAACATCTCCATCCATCTACCTGCAATCAAAAAGCAAGTACAATAGTTGTTCATAATTTATTTGCATGCCTATTGCACAATTAACAATGTATCTACAAAAACTCCATACTTGAAAATGTATGAAATCTCAGTGTGTCCTTCCTGATAACTTTTTTACAAATAAATAATTAATAATACTGGAATAAAGAATGTGAAGACAAATGTTGACACACGTATTTTATTTTGTCTTATTTTGGATCAACAGCAAAAAACAGATGCGAAAAAGGCTGAACTTGATGGACACATGTCTCTTATGTAACTATGTAAGGTCCACATTTATATTATTAAATAGATTTTTTTGTTCCTGTACAAACATCTGAATTCTCAATATATTTGCCATTTTTAAAGTACTTTCTTTAATTCTTGAAGTTTTCATCAATGTTTTCTGCCTCTTTAGGTCATTTATTAGACATTATTAGACTTGTCTTTAAAGCTACTTCTTCACTCTCAGAATGTTTGACGAGTTGTAGACACTCTAAAGTCCGGTGTATCTCAAATGAAGTAGTTCTCCATTCTGATGCCATCCTTGTTCTAGCATGCCAGCTCCACTAGACTGGCAGTTTCTGCATGCCATTTGCTGACCTTGGCCATAGCAGCTAATTATAAAATTGGTATAATGATAGTTAACTCAAAGGACAACAAGAACACTTTAATAATGGGGCCAGTGCTAATGACTTTGGATTCCGACTAAATCCCTTTGGCCTTGTGAGACCATTTAATTTTTTATTTATTTTTTCTCACCTACTAATAAAGCTGCTCTATTGATTAAGGATTGAGAGACACTTCGGTATTGAAGACTTTTGAGTAACTGCTTAACCAATCTAGCTATTCATTGTGAAGATGATTGGTATAAATCTATACTTATTATTCTTTATAGGCATGACCCATACAAATAGCTAACAAGGATATTGTCACAATTAACTGCAGAACTGCTATGAATGCATGCATATAAATGACTTATTGAAAATATACTAGAACAAATAGTGATATGTATTATTATTCCAGCCTACCACTGGAAGGATTGTATACTAGTAAATGCATGCCACCCAACATTGGGTGGTGTGAAATTGTGATGGATGCGTGGGCCTAAAAGGGCCTAACAGTAATGCCACTTATTTCACTGGCAACTCTCATAGTGGGCAGTCCCATGTAGAAAGGGAGCAGGTCACCTACAAAAGGAACATGTCAGTCTTGAGTGATAGTCTCTCATTCCAGTCCCACTCAAGGCAGACTATATAGAGAGTACACCTGATGCACTCTGCATGGCCCTAGTGCTCTCCACACAGCACAAACATGGCTAATGATGCATTTGCACTAAGCTAACAGTGGTCACTTGAACAAAATTGGGATGGTGGGACCAGAGCTCAAAATCAGGTTGCCCCACTAAAACTGGGATAGTTGGAGAGCATGGGGTAAATGTGCAAGCAATTGACTTCAGCAATATGGCTGACTGTTTGTATGTGAGATGTTCCAAATGTATTACTGTGAGAGGAAGATCTGCATCATATCAGACACTTACATAAAGGAAATAATTTGTATGTAATTTTGTTTGCTTAGATATATGTTTTACATGACACAAAGATAAGGAAAGAGGCAAGAGGAGCAAGAAACATGCAGGATCATGGTATAAGACATTCCTGCAAACCTTCATTTATTATCCCTCATCTCTGTTGTACCATAAAAAAGGGAAATGGGTAAGAAATTGATCCTGCCCAGTACATCAATCATTCACCACATGACACACAGTAAAGAGGAAGTGAGGCCACTCAAGAAGAATTCTCTGTACCTAGGAGTTTAGAAGATATTGAAGAACAAAATTAGAAGAGAAACAATGCAAACACTGTTAATATTTTAAGATTACAGTATATACTCGAGTATAAGTCTAGTTTTTCAGCATATTTTTTGTGCTTAAAAACCCCCACTCGACTTATATTCGAGTTACTGTCTGTATTATGTCAACTTAGAGAGCCGCGGCCGTCAGAGCCATGGCAATGATCCGCGCGGCAACCAGACCGCGAGACTTACAGTGGAGCTGACCGGAACGGAGGAGAAGGGAGCTGACAGGAGCTGCAGGAAAGGTAAGTAAATGCTTCCTGCCGGCCCCCCCACTTCACAGCCCATGCCACTGGACCACCAGGGATTAAGATAGCCCCCCTCCCTGACCAGTTAACAAGCAGGGAGGGGTGACCAAAAAAATAAAAAATTATAAAAAAAATTATAATATTAAAATCAAAAAAATTTAAATAATAAAAATGCCCTCCCCCCACCCAGTTCACACACACTACACAAATACACACTCTGCATTATATACACAGAGTGTGTGTATATAATGCAGAGTGTGTGTTTGTATGAGTGTGTGTGTGTATATAATGCAGAGTGTGTGTTTGTATAAGTGTGTGTGTATATAATGCAGAGTGTGTGTTTGTATAAGTGTGTGTGTATATAATGCAGAGTGTGTGTTTGTATGAGTGTGTGTGTATATAATTATAAAAATCACAGAATTTCATAGCCCCATGTTTTACCCTCGACTTATCCACGAGGCATAGCATATTTCACAATTGTTGGTCACAAAACTGCACTCGACTTATACATGAGATCGACTTATACACGAGTATATACGGTATGTTTTTTGTTTTTTTTTGTGAACTATATATAATGTTATGGATTATTAAACGAATATATATTAATGTAGTAATATTAAGGTTGTAATATTGAAATTTGTACAATCTGTATAATAATTGTATACTTGATATATATAAAAGAAAAGAAAAAATATTTGTAAATAAAATAAATATAAAAAAAAAAGATTATGGTGACCCCAATGCTTATTTTATTTATGTTGTAAGTAGCAGGGTTTGGGATGCTCTAAGCAAAGTTTATGAGCAACTACTAGTTGTTAGACTTTTGCAAAAAGTTGTTTCAGCCAGTTAAAATTCCTTATAATTTCTGTGAGAACAAATATTGATCCATAAAGGATTTACCTGTGGAGTCCATTTTAATGAATACAACTCCACAGGTAAATACCAGATGAATTGATTAATTCAGGTGTGTAATAAAATACACTGCTCAAAAAAATAAAGGGAACACAAAAATAACACATCCTAGATCTGAATGAATTAAATATTCTTCTGAAATACTTTGTTCTTTACATAGTTGAATGGGCTGACAACAAATTCACACAAAAATTAAAAAATGGAAATTCCAACCCATGGAGGTCTTGATTTGCAGTCACACTCAAAATTAAAGTGGAAAAACACACTACAGGATGATCCAACTTTGATGTAATGTCCTTAAAACAAGTCAAAATGAGGCTCAGTGGTGTGTGTGGCCTCCATGTGCCTGTATGACCTCTCTACAACGCCTATGCATGCTCCTGATGAGGTGGCGGATGGTCTCCTGAGGGATCTCCTCCCAGACCTGGACTAAAGCATCTGCCAACTCCTGGACAGTCTGTGGTGCAACATGACATTGGTGGATGGAGTGAGACATGATGTCCCAGATGTGCTCAATTGGATTCTGGGGAACGGGCGGGCCAGTCCATAGCATCAATGCCTTCGTCTTGCAGGACCTGCTGGCACACTCCAGCCACATGAGGTCTAGCATTGTCTTGCATTAGAAGGAACCCAGGGCCAATCGCACCAGCATATGGTCTCACAAGGGGTCTGAGGATCTCATCTCAGTACCTAATGGCAGTCAGGCTACCTCTGGCGAGCACATGGAGGGCTGTGCGGCTCCTCAAAGAAATGCCACCCCACACCATTACTGACCCACTGCCAAACTGGTCATGCTGGAGGATGTTGCAGGCAGCAGAACATTCCACGTCGTCTCCAGACTCTGTCATGTCTGTCACTTGTGCTCAGTGTGAACCTGCTTTCATCTGTGAAGAGCACAGGGCACCAGTGGCAAATGTGCCAATCTTGGTGTTCTCTGGCAAATGCCAAATGTCATGCACAATGTTGGGCTGTAAGCACAACCCCCACCTGTGGACGTCGGGTCTTCATACCACCCTCATGGAGTCTGTTTCTGACCATTTGAGCAGACACATGCACATTTGTGGACTGCTGGAGGTCATTTTGCAGGGCTCTGGCAGTGCTCCTCCTGTTCCTCCTTGCACAAAGGCGGAGGTAGCGGTCCTGCTGCTGGGTTTTTGCCCTCCTACGGCCTCCTCCACGTCTCCTGATGTACTGGCCTGTCTCCTGGTAGCGCCTCCATGCTCTGGACACTATGCTGACAGACATAGAAAACCTTTTTGCCACAGCTCGCATTGATGTGCCATTCTGGATGAGCTGCACTACCTGAGCCACTTGTGTGGGTTGTAGACTCCGTTTCATGCTACCACTAGAGTGAAAGCACCGCCAGCATTCAAAAGTGACCAAAACATCAGCCAGGAAACATAGGAACTGAAAAGTGGTCTGTGGTCACCACCTGCAGAACCACTCCTTTATTGGGGGTGTCTTGCTAATTGCCTATAATTACCACCTGTTGTCTATCCCATCTGCACAACAGCATGTGAAATTGATTGTCGCTCAGTGTTGCTTCCTAAGTGTCCAGTTTGATTTCACAGAAGTGTGATTGACTTGGAGTTACATTGTGTTGTTTATTTTTTTGAGCAGTGTACATTTGATTAATGCGTACCGGAGGAAACAAACATTTGCTCTAGTCTACTAGCTATTCCCTTTGATTTAAATCATCTTTCAGGAGAAATAATCAATACACTCACTTAGAAAATCTCAAAAATCATTTGCTGTCTTGAAGGGACATGCAACTCTTGGCAATTTTGCTTTTGAAACCAGCAAGCAAACACTTTTAAACAACTATACAAAACAAAATAAAGAAAGAAAAACTTTGAAATGTAAGAAATAAATGTTTATAAACTTACTATAAACTTGGTCAGATTGCATCATTGGGAACGCCTCTCAGATAGATGAGTTTATTCAGCCTCCACTTATTCACCAACTAATCCAGTCCAGACCAGTCCACTAATGACAGAAGCAGGACATTGTTGTGTAGCAGCAGCAAGCTTCTTATTCTCCCTGCATTGACTAACACAGCAGACAGACAGAAACCCAACACCAGTTTGACATCTTCATGTCTGCATGAGATATTTCAGCTGCAAATGTGTAAATATGGCAGGCATCCCCAATGCACTTTACCAGCATTCCTAGGGATAGGACATTGATTGGTTAGATCAGTGCCATCCCCCCCAACACCTCCTCCCCCCCCCGTAGTGGGTGTGGGAAGCATAAGGAAAAAAAAATATATACATCACATTTACCTGCTTTTTCAGCATGAAGAGTGAGACAACTGTCTGATTCAAAGCTAAAGCTTTTGATTGAGACAGTTGCCTCAAAGTGATGCATGTCCCTTTCAAGGAAAACATCAATCACCATAACCATGACAGCATGCACGGGACAGGCTTAG